TATCCGCATGCGCATGGCGCAGGGCAGTCGCAGAATGATGACCCAGTTCGGGTAATTCTTCCGTAGCGAGTCGGCCACTATAATAAGGAATGAAACAATCGCGGCTGCCATACAGTACAAACGATTCTTCGGGAAATGTATCCTGTAACAACGTATCCAGCTGCTGGCTCCAGGTCTTGTCGGAAGCATGGTCAGGTAACGGAAGTATGATCAGGTCTTCGGAATACTGTTTCAGCATTTTCTCCCGGGTATTATAGTCAAAAGGATTACGGCGGCTGCCTTTCACCGGTGATACGCCCAGTACCACCACTACTTTATTGTGTTTTGCCTGTATCTGCTGCAGCAGATACACATGCCCCTCATGTAAGTAGGGTGTCTGGAATCTTGCGAGGATAACGCCGGTTGCTTTCATTTTGCGTATTTTGTACACAAATATAGAACGCTAAAAAGTATCCACCAAATTTTGTGTAATTTTTACACAAAATATTTTTTGAAAAAGAGAATCGTTACTGGTCTTTAGGGCAGCTCAGATCTCAAAAATGATCCCGTCTTTAACCAGTTGCTGGTAACGCTTCTTATTGAATTTGTACAACTTACCCGGCCGGCCGGCACCGGTGGCTTTTACATATTCGTCCGTCTCATCGAGGATCGCGAGGGCCATTATTTTTTTAGAGAAATTACGCCGGTCAATATCCCGGTCGAGCAGGGTGGTGTATAGTTTTTCAAGATCTGCAATCGGGAATTTTTTATCCAGCAGCTCGAAACCAATCGGCTGGTAGCGGATCTTGGCGCGAACGCGGTCGATGGCCGTTTGCAGGATAGTCTTATGATCAAAGGCCAGTTCGGGCAATGCTTTGATACTGAACCACTGCGCATCTTCGGCATCGGTACTGGCTTTTAGCTGGCGGTACTGAGATGATTTTACCAGCGCCACATAAGCCACCGAAATGATCCGCTGGCGCGGATCCCGGTCTGGTGCACCAAATGTATAAAGCTGTTCCAGGTAGTCTACCTCAATGCCTGTTTCTTCACTCAGCTCGCGGCGCACGGCTTCTTCGAGCGATTCTTCTTTTAATACAAAGCCACCG